GGCAGGCGGCTAGGCAACCATACGTGCCACAGTATTTACATCCGTACTAGGTCAAGTTGATAGGTACCTAGGTGTGCTAGGCAACTAGGTAGGTAGGTACCTACGCGGGAGGGGGGTGTTTTCTGACATGCCCTCTGACATGCCCTCTGACATATTATACGATCTGGCATATTTTTTAGGCGTGTTATAAGGAAATCGCACTTTTTAGCATATTAAAAAAACTTATGACATCCTATATAAGAAGCCTAAATAAATAGTAAAAACCTTTACTAATATTATATCTACAAGAATCTGTCCGAGGGCATGTTAGAAAACACCCCCCTCCCGCGTAGGTACCTTAGGGATCTACGCAGTTGGCAGGTACCTATGTCATACCCAGGTAAGCGCAGTGTGGCGCTAATCAGAAGCTTCCTACTTTTCACTCTGCCTTGGCGGAAATCTTCTTCACTACCAGCTTCGAAACAACAAGATCCTTCACCCCCAATCCCGTCCCATATGGATTTTCATCCAATTTTACAAGGTCATCTGTCACTATGACCTGTGCATGGCGTAGTGCAACACCAGCAACCTACCACGACACCAATAGCTACAAGACATTGCTGCAGCAAGCTGTTTCCCGCTAATCACCCGTAACGTACCGCAGATTTATTAGCAAGGCTTAGACTTTATTAGTGAAAGTGCTTTCTGATACATTCTGTGAAGCTTTCCATCTCGCATATCATGTTTCTGGCACATACTTATCGCGACAAACTTGTTCTTCCTGGCATTCCTTCGCTGTTTCCCGCATTAGTTGTTGACTATTCATCGCAGTCGTGCCGCCCAGCAGACTGACCGACCGGCAGCTAGTAGTAGTAGTATACCATGATACCTCGCTTTGGCATTCTCGCGCCCCTAGGGACTTAGTCGCCACAGGCTACATGTGTCCATGCCCGCAATGCCCGTGATACGGGTCATGATAAGCGACATCAACGTCCCATTCAGCAACATAGACAACATCGTGTCTGGGACCTGGGGCAACTGGAAATGGCGGCATTCGGGGTACTCGAAATGACGGCACTGGCGGCACTGGCGGCACTGGCGGCACGACAACTGGCAGTGCTCCTGCAAATAGTGGTCCTGCAACAGGTGGTCTCGACCTTCGCAAACTTCTCGACCTCGAAGGATTGTTCTCGGCGGATGGCATGTCGCGACCTGAATCTACGATGTTCTGGGATCTAGATCTCCCGGATCTCATTGCGTCCCTGCCAAAGGCGAACAACTATTAGTACGGCACACTGCAAACTTCTAAATCTGAGCTGACCTATGATCAGACTGGGTCATCCACGGATGTTTGGCCGCCGTGGTCGAGGTCAGTCGCCGCCAGCCATCTGGCTTCATCAAGGCCTTGATGAATTCTTGTCCGTCTCTTGTGACGCAATATCTGTCGAGCATATCGGATGGAAAACCTGACTTCCCAGTACAATATGAGAGAGCCTCCTGCATGTTGGGAAACGGTACTGTGCCGGTCAGTATCTTGTAGACTACCGCGCCAAGTGACCACATGTCGACAGCAGAGGTGTAAGATCTACCGTGATCAATGATACCCAGGGCTTCGGGAGCAGCGAACCCAATGGTGCCTTGTCCCTGCGTATGTAGACTTGTTGACAATTCATGTCTTCGCTTGCTAATGCCAAAGTCCGCAATCTTAACAAACCACTTTGGTCCTGGTTCGACGACCATCATGTTCTTTCTTTGTCAACCAAGTTCGTGCAGAGTCAAATAGGTTACACTTACTCCAGGCTTCAGGTCGCGGTGAGTAAAGCCATTTTCATGCATGAAGCCAAGGCCCTCGATGATTTGGGCAGTGATAAGCTTGGCCTCCTGCTCCGATAGCGGATGGGCGAGATGCTTTTGCAAATCTCCATGTTTAAGGTACTCCATCGCGATGAAAATATGCTCCGACGACTCGTACCATCCATATGATTGCACGAAACAGTGCCTGAACTTTCCGACCATATATGTTAGTATGCCAGAGTGATGCCCTAGATGAGTGGCCACTTACCTTTCCGTGCGAGAACTTCATCACGGCCTCGAGCTCCCTTGTGTAGTCAACCTTGTGTCCAGAAATAGTCTTCCTAATTGTTTTTACGGCTCTCAATTTCGTTACAGTTCCGTCATCGCATCGCTCGCGATGGACTACACCGAATGCTCCGTGGCCAAGTTCTTTGTCGCGAGTCCATATCTCCACCCGGATTCTTCGGCGAGTCGTTGATGAAGAACTGTTGTAGAAATGTTTGGTGTAGTTGGAGTGCACTTCAGCTTCGAGTTTGGCGTCAGCTACAATATCCGGCAAGGGTTCGGATGGCTGTCGTCGGTTCATGCTTAACACTGTACTGCGAGATGTCTGTAGTGCTCAGCGCAACGCCACCCTGAATGACAAATCAAAGAACGGGTAAGAAGACTTCGCCGACAGTATGAAGATTGTGTAGCTTTTTGTTTCTCAGGGAAGATTGAAGTTGGTGAGAAGACAGGCTGGGGAAAGCAGCTGGTGAGGATGAAGCAAAGAATAAGAATGGCGGGTGATAGTGAGCTGCCATGCAGGAGGTTGGGCAATCATGAAGGAAACCCCGCATCTTTGCTGTTAATTTCTGCCCAGTTCTAAACCTTCTTGGCGCGTACGCCTTCTACGGTGGGCTGGTACATACAACGACAGCAAGAATCATCTTGCCATTGTGGAGGTCATTCAGAGCGACGCTTTCTGCGTCTTACGACAATCTGTCCTAGACTTCATATGAAGTGATGAAAACCTGAACGAATATTTGAACATACGTCGATTAAACCTAATAATGTCTCGACTTAAAAACGCCGAGCACCTTGCTATCTGTCAAGCTGGTAATGGCTCTTGTGGGCACCCACGACTTGTCTCTCACGCATGTAGGTACGTTACCCGAAATAAGCTTGACCATTGCCACTAAATGTAGTTAATATATCACACATATGACACATCACTCATCTAAGTATATCACGAACAACAGTGCGCGGACTCGCACGTTCAAGAAAAGGTCGTTCTGATAGAAGTGACGTGGCACGGTAGCGGAAGAAAGAAAACGGCATCGATCGGTGCGCTGCTCATACTATAAATTTACGCCATTATGAAATCCTTGCTGATTTTCTGCAGATCATGCAGGGAAATTTGATGGCAGCCATCACAGAGGTGAAGCCCGGTGCCGAAGAGTCGGGCCTCACCAGCGGCCTCCTTAAGCTGGATTGCGCATTGGCGCGCGAACCCTTTAACAAAATTATAGCCGAACTTAAACACTGGACAAAGATGTTCGATCCTAGGTGATATTCAACGAGAATGCTGCGATAGATTTCAAGCTAGAAAATAGGTCAGCAAGGCATCCAAGCTTAGTAGCTTAGCACTTATCAGGGCCAAGAACATACGCCGAACATAGGCGGAAGCTCAGCCCAGGACACTCATATCTCTCTAATTAAAGGCGGCGTAAAGCGGGAACCTGTGTAACTAGAGCATCCGCTGTTCTATCACACAAGCCATTTGGCGAAAACGATCCCGAAAACTTTTCCTAGTCGACAATGGCCTGCATCAGCAATTCAGATCACGCGCGCTGATGCGGAGAGACCTGCAATAAAGCCCCAGAATGCCGACCTGAAGCATTCAGCCTCGTGAGCTGCCAAGGACTCTGAAGCGTAAAGATTCCACCATAAAGCACTTGTCCATCATTGGCCTCATATTCATTTGCCGCTCGAGGACTTGGAGTTTCGAGCTTGCGCTAGAGCTCTTTGAACAGCACAGCTTCAGCATCACCGCCGCGCTCGCGCTCATAATACGCCTAGCTATAGCAGTCAAGCGATCTTTACCCATGGGGATTTGTGCACAGTAATGTTCGGCCGGAGACCATCCACGAGCGGAGTGCGCAGGCACCCGCCCCGGGGTCGGCATCCCTAATGGGTTTTGTTCAAATTCGAAGTGCTAACTTTCAATCTATGCGCAGCGGCAATGTGACATGACAGCGTAACCAATAGCATCATCCGCAGAGACAAGGTATACACATGCATGCAGGCTTTTGGATGCAGCACGATGTGTATTCGTTGGGCATCCGTTTATTGGAAATTGGGCTCAGGCACTCCTTTGTCGTTACTCCACTGGGACCGGCGCAATAATTCCATCATTCAGCTTCCAATTGGGTATGAGTGATGCCAAGTTCAAGCTGTATTGGTCGCTGCAGTTCGCCAAGCCTTGAAGAGCTGTCTCGTCAAGCACGTAAAAAAATCACTGCCCCCACGCAGGGAGGTCTACACGGCTGTGGTTCTAGCCGCCTTCCGTGCCTGTGTAGGGTTAATACCGATTTTGGAGTCCGGGAAATATGCGAGATGAAGATAAGAAGGCTGATAGGGGCACAGTTCATTGGAGATGTGTTGTTCAGGTTGGCAGAGATAGCCTAATTAGTCACTGTAAATAAGTACCTAGATAAGTTGATGAGAGCAAGAACACTTGGCTGCGGCGGCCCCATAATTCCAACTCTGACAGTAATTAGGCTGGCATGATTCTTCATCCTTGCATCCTGCCTGCCAGAAGAATTTTGTCAAAAGCAAACGACTCAAAATTTTATCCTTGAAGACTAAAGTGGCCCTTTTTGATCACACTCGCGTCTTATACGTTACTACTATGGCTTCCACTACTGGCGGGCCTGTCCGCAAAAGAATTGTTCATCACCTTGGATCACCCTTCACCACAATTACCTGGTACGTTGATTCTACCGTGTCTACTGATCTACTTCCTTGCTTAACATAAATCACAGGCCAGAGATATCTCAAGAAGATCAAGATGACATACTAGAGCTCCTCTGCGAGTGAGGCACCCGGCCTCGTAGCCTGCCGTCGCGAGTACTTACTATTTTCTCAGGTATCTCGGCCCAATCGGCAAGCATCGCCAGAGATGTATCAAAACTTCCAAAGGGAAACGAGCAGAAAAGAAAAGGAAACGTCAAGAGAAAGATGAGGACAAAACCACTTTCCCAATGGCAATGGCCGCTAATCTGCCAGTCAAGCCAGAGACTGCGTCGCAGGTGGATGTTGGCTTCAATTCCATTACAAGAGGCTTTCAAAATGCAAATAACGAAACGAGTGTGGATGGTGTTGTGGTAAAACGGCAGAGATATTCCATGGTTTTTGTCTGTCGTGGCAACCAATCTGCCGCGTTCAACAGCCATTTTCCACAGATGGTAGCCGCATCTTCCGCTGATGTCCAACCAGAGCACGCTACTCGATTAATAGGCTTCTCCAAGCCATGCTCTAGCCGACTGAGCAGCTGTCTAGGACTAGCGCGCGTTTCAGCCGTGGCTATCAAGAGTGACGCAGCGGGGTCATGCGCGTTGTGGGATCTGGTGAAGAAGTCTGTCAAGCCAGTGCAATGCGAGTGGCTTGACGAGGCCAGGAGCCTGCAGTATCGTCAAACCCAGATAGTTTCTCTAGAAACCTCTGTTGGCTCCAAGAAAACCAAGGTGGTAACAGCATGATAGAGGGCAACGGCATGCAACAGTACGCGGGACACTTGACAAGTGCATTCAGAGTCCTACACCTCTTGGTTCCCTTGCAAACTACTTCCAAATGACAAAGAAGATTGAAGTCTCCAAGGGAGCAAAAGTTACATTACTGTAATGTACCAATTAACTGGTCTTTTTTTCTGACAATATTCGCATTCCTTGCAAACGGCAGCCGCGGTCAAGGGCCCGCTGCCGGCCGCTGCTGCCAGCTGCCAGAGACAAACGCTTCCCGTCAACTTTTCTCCTTCACACTTCTGCAATGCCCGCTCACATCACCAGCTTCACTTTAAAGTCTGCAATCTCGTCGGCAGTCTTTACGGAGACGGCCTCTTCACCGTTACCTATTTGGCCCACCTGCAGCTAGAGCCATGGCGAACTCTTACTTCAATGACCAGGCAAAGCTGGCAGACGCTAGAGCTTTAGCTAGGAGTTTCTCACAGACAAAACCTCCCAAGTCTAAAGGAAATTCGAGGCCCAGGGCGCACTCCCAAGACCGAGATGCACAGTTACGCGGTGCAGCCCGTGCGCAGTTGACACAGTCTATCGTTCGTACGTGTTTGGGCCCTTTTATCAGTATGAAGACACTCTTACCCATATTTAGGACCCGGAGGCTTCAGCTCAACATCGACGACGAGTCACAGGCAGCCACCTCGACAGTTTCACGCGCGACAGGAAAGCACGATCTCTATGGCTACGTGGCAGGCGCGAAAAGATGCTCCGTCCATAACTGGCGGGCGAGGACTTGATTTTCTGAGCCGAAAAGATGCCTTGGTCAGCATTCCAGAAGGTAACTCGACAAAGCTTTTTCTGGCCCAAGAATAATCTAATCCTCTTGTTATAGTCCAGCTGGCTGTGGCTCCCAGAGCTGAGTTGCCACCAACTTCGTCCCTTACTGGACAGTCCCAATCCCTGGCCAACGCTGAAGCTCCCACTTCAGGGGTTGCGGGCTCAGTGCTTGACGAGTTTCTTTCGCTCATGTCACAGCAGGAGAAAGAACTGGCAAAGGTTGATCCTTTAATCGACCAACTACAGCAATGGCATCTACAATCTCCAGCTGAGGCGAAGTCCAATACCGTAGCATTGCCAACTGCGCCTCGAATTCATCCATCGTTTACTGGTTGGAAGAAAGCAGATGTCGAAGAAATCCCGGCCGCTACGGTTCCAATCACGCCGGTTGCTCAAAGCGGCCAGACAAAAGGCCAAAGTGGCCCTACCCATGTATCTGCTGTAGCTACGTCGAATCAGCCCTCTCGGCTACCGTTGGATGAGGTCAGCAATTGCTTTTCCAATCTTCGGGCAGATGCAGGTCTTGCGAGCCTCGAATCATCAAAACCGGTAGTACGTCTACCACCCACAATCCAGCAAAAAGAAAATATTCGACCGCCATCGAAGGCGTTGGAGCAGCTTGCGAGGCCACCGAGAACGCCAGAGCCAGCTAAATGTAATTGCACACCAACTATTAAGCCCCAAAAAGGACTCTCAGCATCTCGTTTTGCATCCGAAGAAACGGGAAACTCCTCATTCGCAAACAAGTTCTCGGTCAACTTGCAGATTGTTATCCACCAGGATTTCTGCCCCATGTCTGAGCGGCGCGAATCAGCACAACAGGCGCTACGGGCTCAAGCAGAGCCGTTCACCCCGAGATTCTAAAATAATCTAGTTGCTGATTCAGGATTAAGAAATGTGATAATAAGCTAGACCAGGCGAGGAGACATATGGGGTGTTTATGTTTGTATTTCGTGAGATAGCTTATGTACATCTATTTCGAGTTCATGCCTTTTACCAACAGCTGATGCCCTTCTCTTACTTTGGGCGAATAGTGTTTGCGCAAGAGCTCACCTTCCCAAACTGTCGTCGCAAAAGGATTGCTTCCCTCCACACTGTCGCTGACGGGATTAAAACGCCCATCACCCTTGCGTTCTTCGGTGTTCCACAAGCTGCGGACCTTTCTTCCATGTGTATGCGCAACATCGCCGAGCAGCGCCAACGTGCCCTGGCATGACTTTTCAGGCAGTTGCAGCGACGTGGTCATAAGTTGTTTCGTGAAGGCGGCAAGCCTCAGCGGGGGCACGGAGCGGATGTTCCACGGCGGGAGGAGAATCGCCGTGAGTGAGCGGAGGAGCAGGACGGTCGTGGTCTGCACATTGATGCGCAAGTAGCGGCCGGCGGCAAAGGTGGAGCTGGGGGGCTTGGTGTGCTCAAGATCGGGGTTGGTGGAAAGATCGAGGAGGGAGCGGTAGAGGTGAGTGGTGAAGTAGGAAAGGTCGAGGTGGAGTGCGTTGCGCGAGTTGTGGGCGTCTTGCCCCGCGAGGAGGGTGTGCGCGGTGGCGGTGCAGAGAAGCGCTTCGCGGGTGAGGTTGCGTGAGGGCTCGGTGTCGTCGCCCTCTTCGCTCTCGTTCTCCTCATCCTGGGCGGTCTGGTCGTCGGCGTCCTCGGCGCTGGCGTCGTTGATGCTGTGGCGGATCAGGTCCTTGAGAGCCTCGAGGAGATCACCAAAGAAGTCCTGGTTGATGAGCCGGGCGTACTTGGCGAGACCCTCGAGGACGGCACCCATGAGGTGCGGCTCGCGTAGCTTGAGAACGCGAAAGTAGCAGGCAAACACCATCTTGAGCGTCTCGGACTGCATGCGCTCGCGCTCCTCGTGACTGACGAGGGCGTCAGCCTGCGTCATCTCCTTGGTGATGGACTTTTGCTCCTTGAGCAGCTTGCGCTCGCGCTTGGTTCGGAACTCGCGCTGGTTCTTCTTGGTCTTCTTGAAGGACTGCGCGGGGCCGTCCTCGCCGTCCTCGCCGCCATCCTTATCGACGCGGTCCCTAGAAGCGGTGCCACGAAACTCAGAGAGCAGACGCAGCGAGAGGAACAGGTTGAGCACAGCCTGATCGACCTGGTACTCGCGCGATTTCATCATCTTGGTAAGCAGCGAGACGGCCTCCATAGTCGGACGGCCCTCGTCGTCCTGGCGGAAGAGCGTCTCGAGCGCCTGCAGGCACTTGCTGGCGTCGTCGTCGAGACGGCGCCGGCTCAGCTTCCACACGAGAATCTTGAGCAGCTCGGAGCGGAAGTTAAAGTGTGGCACTGAGGTGAGGAGGGTGCAAGCGCAGGTGTAGGCGACGTTGGAGACGCTCTGCATCCCAGGCTTCGCCCTGATACCGAGACGGGCGAGGCGGTTGAGCTCCTTGACGTAATGCTGGTAACCAGAGACGAGCGACTGCTCAAACTGACGTAATTGGCGGATGTCTTTTGAAACCTGCTCCTTTTGCTCATCTTCTGCCAGAGGTCTTATACGATATCCAGGTATGATATCCTTGAAAACGGCCATTTGCGTCATGAGCGCAAGCATCTGTATGGCTGTGATTTCCGACTCGCCGTACTTGGCCAGGGCCTTTAGCGAAGCGATGTTCTCCTCTGGATTTTCATTGAGGGCCATGGCGAGTTTGGCCATTTCCTCTTGTGCCTCGAGAATTTGCTGTGATTCGGGGATCGTCGGTGCTTTTTCTTCCTCCTCCGCTTCTGGCTCCCATTCAACGTCGTCTTCGCGGCCCTCGAGCCATTCGGTGTCGCTCTCGACCGAAACGTCGTCGCCGTCTGCATCCAAACTGTTCAAAATTTCCAATCGACCGTCTGCCGTCTTGATCGGTAGCTTGTTGCTCTGTTTAGGCTCCTTCTTTTTGCCCTTGCGCGGCTTTGACTCATAGTCTTGCTCCAGGTTCCAATTCGAAGCGTTCTTGAAAAATGCTTTCTGGGCATTCTTTACGGCTGCTGGTGCGCCGTCGGTGACCTCAGCAGCCACCTGCGCCAGCTTTCTTTTTTTTGAGCTCATTGCCGCCATTTCGTGAGGCAAGATGTGCTCGCCAGACAGCTGAGATTGCACCTTCGAAAGAACTGCTCACAAAGACTTTTGCCCGCCTGGTTACTAGCAAAAAAGCTGCGACGGACCGCACATAGTGGGCTCATTGTTGATGTTCAGGGCCAATCAGGTATTGAGCCAGGCACTCACCGCCAAAATTTTGCGATTTTCTGCCGGATAAACTTACCTACGCCCCTCCACTGCCAAAAATTTGTCTAGGCGGTCGGCTATTGACTTTTTGAGTGTCGACTCACCGAACGTCGTTTGACTTTTCTTTATTCAGGGCCGCCAATTGCGAGCTTGCCGGTGCAAGCATGGATTTTCAAAAGGCCCCAACGCGAGCATTGAAAGTAGCCAACAAAGTCAAGCGAAAGGAGCTCTTTGTGCAACATAAAAAGGACAAGGACAAGAAGCGTCGCGAAGAACGACTTCAACGCAAAAAGGAAGAGGACCGCAACCCCGAGCTCAAGACCGCCAGACTCGCCAAGAATGCCCCAAAGACACTGGATCAGAAGCGTGTATGGGACGATGTCGACGATGACAGCTTGGGTGTTATTGTAGACGTGGAGAAGCTTAAGCGCAGACGGTTGGAGGAAGCCCAGGCTGAGGAGGAGGCCGCCTTGAACGCTCCGCTCGACCAAAACGACGACGACGATGACAACGATAGCATGCTTGATAGCGACGATGAGGATGATGAGGGCGATGAGGCTCGCGAAGCCGCTCTAGACAAAGCGCGGGCAAAACGCGCTCTAAGAGACAATAGTGCGGCCCCTTCGACCACGAGTACCAATTTGGACCTGACGCCGTCGTCACTGGCTCTCAAGTTTCCTACACTCTTTACCGATATCCCACCGCCAACGCCCAAGATTCTCGTCACGACATCGTTGAATTCGACGTTGCATGAGGAGGCGCACCTGCTCACCACGCTCTTCCCTAACAGCAACTACATTCCCCGTTCATCACATCGCTACGGCCACAAGTATTCTCTGCGGGATATCTGCAAGTTTTGCATCGGCAGAGATTACACCGCCGTTGTCTTGCTAAAGGAAGACTCCAAGAAACCCACGGGCATGTCGATTGTGCACCTGCCGTCGGGCCCGACATTTCACTTCTCCATCTCCAACTGGGTCGAGGGCAAGAAGCTACCTGGCCACGGCAACCCGACCAACCACTACCCCGAGCTGCTCCTCAACAATTTCAAGACGCCGCTCGGCTTGCTGACGGCCAAGATTTTCCAAACACTGTTCCCACCCGCGCCCGAGTTTCAGGGCCGCCAAGTAATTACGCTGCACAATCAGCGCGACTACATTTTTGTGCGCCGCCACCGCTACGTGTTTCGCGATAAGCGCGCGACTGAGAAGAGCGTCGTCGCTGCCGACGGCGAGAAGATGAAGGGCGTGGAGCAAATCCGTGCAGGTTTACAGGAGCTCGGTCCGCGGTTCACGCTAAAGCTAAGGCGTGTCGACAAGGGCATCGGACGCGCGGGCAGCGAAGGCGACGATGCAACGCAGTGGGAGTGGAAGGCCAAGATGGAGAAGGACAGAAAACGGTTCAATTTGTAATTTTATAGCGAAGCAATGCCAAACAACATCAAGAAAACTGTACTTGCACCTTTGGCTGACGTTTTACAATAGCGAGCGGCTGCAAGCTTGCCGTGGAATGGAGCGCAGTCAATGACCCAATTGAGACAAGGAACATGCAAAATGACCTGCATCCGCTGGTCAAGATATCAACACATAATACAATCACTAATAAGAACTTATTATTGCAGGTTAATATTTCTGCGGTGGTCGCGAGCTTACGTCTGCGCTAGCCTCAATACAGTAACTGCTTAAGAAATCAGCGGGCCAGCCGTAGCTGGTTGACAAGCCACTCGAGATTATTTTGCTATCCGTAGGCGTTGGTTGTTTCGTTTTTATTCTCGTTACTGTTGTACAAGTCTCGAACATAACGAAATCATGTGCTAATATTTGGGGTCAAAAAAAGCATTCGATAAGGAGGATTCCAGCCGCCCCGTTTGCATCGCCGAGGCTCTGAGTCAAGACATTGAGCGTAGCCGAGTCATCTTATGCGACAGCGGAAGCAGCTGATTTTTCTGCCCTCACGAGCCTCAACCAAGCCCATGACGAGGTAGAAGGAAACCCAAATAATCGATTGCCGCAAGAGTCAGGAGACTTGGGGCTGTCGGCGAGGGACTACACTGCATGCGCCTTGGAGGCTTGTCCAGCGCCGGGCCTTGGACAAACACGCGGGGCAGCTCGCTGTAATAGCTTACTATGCACCACCAGCATAGCGACGGCGGCGATGGCTGCCAAATATGGAAAACGGCGCCTGTTCTCATTGGAACGACACAGTTTGAGCCAAGATCAGATGTGCGCAACATCATGGTGACTGGAGGTGCCGGCTTTATGTGAGCTTTCATCCGATCCTGTCTGACATCGCGTGTCCCTTCAAGCCGTGATACTAACTCGGCCACGCACAGCGCCTCGTGGGTTGTCCGGCATCTTGTCATTACATATCCAGATGCCTACAACATTATCTGCTTTGATAAAATGGACTACTGCTCTTCCATGAACAACACGGCTATTCTTGCAGACCGTCCCAACTTTGCCACGTACGTGGGCGACCTGACCCATCCGCACGAGGTCTTGAACTGCCTGGAAAAGTACAACATTGACACGGTAATGCACTTTGCGGCTCAGTCGCATGTTGATCTGAGCTTTGGTAACTCGTACAGCTTCACGCAGACCAACGTCTTTGGGACGCACGTACTGCTAGAGTGTGCCAAAAAGGTGGGCATCAAACGCTTCATCCATGTTTCGACCGACGAGGTATATGGAGAGGTCAAACATGACGAGGACGATGTGCACGAGGCCAGTATACTGGCGCCGACGAATCCGTACTCTGCGAGCAAGGCTGCCGCCGAGATGATGGTGCAATCGTATCAAGCGAGCTTCAAGCTGCCTTGCATCATTGTGCGGAGTAACAACGTCTATGGACCGCATCAATACCCAGAGAGTGAGCAGAGAATCTTGCTTTCTCATGGCTTCACAAGCTAATCATCCAAATTTTTCTAGAGATTATATCGAAATTTGCTTGTCTGTTGAACAGAAGGCAGCCAGTCGTTCTTCATGGAGACGGCAGTCCTACCCGGCGCTACCTCTACGCCGGTGATGCTGTCGATGCGTTCGACACCATCCTGCACAGTGGCCAAACAGGGGAAATATACAATGTCGGCTCCTCCTCCGAAGTTTCCAACATTGATCTGTGCGCCAAGCTGCTCTCTGTTACGGGCATGGTTGACGGCACCGACACCGACCCCGCCGCCATTATGAAGAAGCCCGCCTTCCGCACATGGGTAAAATACACGCACGACCGGCCCTTTAACGACTGTCGGTATGCGGTCGACGGATCTAAACTGCGCAGGCTGGGTTGGAGCCAGCAGACAAACTTGGACACAGGTCTGCGCATCACGGTGGACTGGTACCGTCGTTTCGGCGAGACGTGGTGGGGAGACATTAGCCACGTGTTGACGCCGTTTCCAGAGGTTGAAGGCGGCTCTATAGTGCCGGATCTGTCTCACAAAATACACGATGATCCAATGGGGTCGGATGAAAGATCACAACCAGGCACGGTGATGAGAAAGGAACAGGCGAGGAAGATGAATGGTGTGGCAGCATCTAGAACGGAGCTGAGTCAATGAGACATGGCTTGTTATAAACTCGAATAAATCAGAGAAATTCCGAACAGAAAACGTTAAGTTTCATTGACGTCTTTTGAATGTCGCCTTTTCTAATAGTTTGCATGCCTGCTTTAATTAGAAGCACTGCTAAGACTGGCAGAAAGTCAACAGAGGCTGGCTTAGGCTAGGCTAAGCTACCATTGTTTTGGGGACCTCGGCCGCTATTATTGACATGGCAACTCACAGAATTCAGCGGGAAAGGAGTCGAAAGGGACGAATGTAGTCTAGAATTGGAAAGCAAAGAAAAAAAGTAGATGGAAAATGGAAGTGGCTGTTCAGCATTCGCCCAATATTTTTGTAATGGCCGTGTCTGCCTTGGCACACACACACCTGTCCCTCTTAAGCTGTCGCATACCGTACGGGGCCCATTTCTGCTTTGCTCAACATCGACTCACGCCACAACAAGGCTGCTCATCTTGTTTAGCACCAACACATAAGCTTCCAACCACGCAACGCCCTCTCTCTGCAGCGCGCTCGTTCTTTACAGACTCGGCGGCAAGACACAGCCATCGTTGCGGGAGTTGGCGCTTGCTCTACGATGCGATTGACGACAGCGCGATAGTCCACGTCACACAGCCATACTTGCAGATATGATTGCTTCGGCTTCTGCCCTCGCCTGGTAAAAAGCTCGCGCCCGTCGCTGCTCTCGGCGAGTCAATCTCAGATTGCGCTGGCCAGTCTCAACAAAGAACCGATCTCCAACTGCGCTGGTCAGTCCCAACGAGGGACACAATCCCAGAGACTGACCCCGAAAATGCTGTCGCATCTACGTTTCCACCGGCGCGGGCCGTCCAACCCGGCGTCGCCAGCCGGCGACCAGCAGCCCTCTCCGTTAAGCAACGCCAACTCGCCCTTTACACCCGATGCCGTCTCGTCTCCGGACACGCAGCCGCCGACCTCAGCCACATCTCTTGTTCCACCGACGCTGCCGCCCATCACGCGAGTGACCTCAGACGAGTCCCCGCCCTTGCCCGACTTCTCCTCCGATGCCTATGCGCCGCCCGTCGAGCAGCGCATGCCACCGCCTGGCCGCTCACCCTATACTACTGATTCGGGCTTCATTGGCGGCGTCGCCTTAGAAAACTACCGACGTGATTTGCGGGCGCAAAAGACGCTCGTCACACCCGAGAATAATACCGCGCGGCAGGTTGAAGACCAGCAGCACCGCGTCAAGAGAAACCCCGCTGCTGCTGGTGCACCGCCGGCTGTTGCACCGAGACCAAGTATACCGCCGCAGAGCTTCTCCAAAGTCCCATCGCACTCTTCCATCTCGCCATCTGAAGGTGGAATATCGTCGCAGCCGACCGGTCGCCGCCCGCCAGGCCGGGGTCTTACTGGCGAACTCACGTCGTCGACGACCCCCGTTACGATCACCCCCATGGAGCCTCACAAAGCGAAGAAGGGCTTACCCTTTCTCAAAAATCCAATGTCCACGCTTCTGATGCGGCGAAAGGCAAATCAAAGCGTGCCCGACGCCCTACCGATGCCTTCACTACCTACTCGAGAACCCGAGCCGACGTATGATCCAAGAATCAAGGGCACTCGCATACACGACTTTAGTGCGCCTAGGCGACGGAGCATCCCACGAAACGAATCTCTGCAAATAGCAGTCGACCCCTCCGCCACTGAGCATAAAGTTAGGCCAGGACCTGCGCCGCCTCCTGCCCCAATGCCTGTGCCCGCACCACTACCCGAAAAAGCGCCAACACCTGAGCCAATCACTCATCAAGACGTTACACCAAGCCATCGCCGAACAAGCCAGAGTCCTCCTTCTGCTCCCGTTTCAGCCGTACGGAATGGCTCTTTCAGAGAGCGGATGCGCAGCTCCAGTGGTTCTTCCATGGCTGGCTCTATCCAGTTTGAGAACCTTTCTAGTATAGCCGAGGACAATGTTCAACAGGTACCTGGATCTCTCCGACGTGTCAACCCGTCAACACGGACAACACGGTCTCGCAATGTATCTCTATCCGAAATGTCGAGTAGAGACACGATGGCATCATTACCGAAACATATGAAAAGCACAAGTTCTAGGTTCAGCTTTGATATGATAGGAGCTGCCAAACAGGAGAAGATTCTGGAAGAGCGACATCGACAACGGCAATTGGAGAAGGGCGAACCAGAGTGCGATGATCGACGAGACTCAAGATTTGATGAGTTTGATGAAGATGGATTTGATTACGATGCCATGATGGAAGACGACGGGCTTGAAGAAAGGATACCCGGCGTGAATGCAGACTTTGACGAAGAAGACGATTATCTCAATGAGACACCATATATACAGGAGGATCAACTCGATGCTCACGAGGATCCTGATAATGATCAGCAAAACTTTTCCGGATTTGTCTTTCAAAGATCGAACCCCGACTCGGCACTCCCTAGTCCATACCTACCAGGCCAGATGCCTCATACCCCTCGAGATGCGCAGGGCCAACCCATCGGATCGGCGCTCACCAAAGACACACCGACGACGGCTACCTTTCCCTTGTCGGCGGATACCAACGTGAACAATATGGATCCGGCATTCGCGCAACAGCTCTCTGCACTCGGTATTAGCGAGCAGACACCTCTGGAAGAAGAGGAAGGAACTATGGATGCCAAGTCGAATGCTCCGAGGCCGGTTCCAGGGGATGAGATGTATTTCGATGACGGCATCATTGGCTATGAAGACGAATTTGCAGAAGATCTCGCCGCCGGAATCGACCCAGATGATGAGCCTTTCGACGAATCCATATTTGATAATGATGATACAGATCAATTCGGCCGCCCAGTTCCAGGAGCATTTGCTCATGCTCAGTCACTACGTCAAGCCATCGGCCAGCCCAAGAGGAGAGAGTCTGATATGACCTCGCGCTTCTCTGCTCAGTCAGGAATTGCACAGTCTACTGCGCATACCTCATTCAGTGCAAGCATGCCTGAAGGAGCACACGGCGGCAGCTCCATGATTTCGCCGCTAGGCAGAGTGTCTTCAATGATGGGGGCACCAACATCGCCGTCACATCGCAAGATGGCAGCCTACCAGGCCGCCCTGGCTGCCGCTGCGCATGAGGCTGCTGCTTCTGGCAAGTTTCAGCGTAGCGCGTCACCCGTACCGGAAGATGAAGAGGAGGATGAATACAGCACAGAAGAGGTGGAGGGTATTGAGACGCAAGAATCAACCGTAAAAATCGAAGATGATGTGGAATACGCGCCCAAGCAGGACTTTGGCGATGACTTTGGCTACGAGAACATGGACGATTTCGAATTAGACGATGATGCGATTATTGCGGAAGCCAATGCCAGTGCGCTAGCAAATGATTCAGACGGCTGGTATGGCCAGGAGTTTGGCTTTTATGCAGCCCCCGCGACCCAGCATCATGGATCATATAGCTCCACTACCTCTGGCGGTACCGAATATCAGTACGCAAGCGGTGGTTTCTTCGGGCCACGCAGCGACTTGGCGCGATCCGCCAGCGGTCGCCTCATCTCTCGCGAACCAAACCTCACTCCCATCACGGAACGTTCTGAATACTCGAACCGAAATTCGATTATGAGCATGGGCTTGCCGCCTATGGTAGGCGGCACACCAACTATGCAAAGCCCCGGACTGGCGCAGCTAGCCATGATGTCGCAAGAGGGTGATGATATGACCCTGTCTGCCTTATTGCGTCTCCGCAACAAGGCTTGGGGCGGCTCGCAGGCCAGCCTGTCCTCTAGCCGTGATGGCTCACCAAAGTCGGAGAGAGGCGAGCTCCCGAGCTCCCCATGGACCGCCAACCTTGCCGGAACCTCCATATCAGGGTACACACACGTGCGGCAAAACTCGCTTCTCTCAAGTGAAGGTCGTGATTCCGAGTTGGGAAGTCTGCCTCCCAGTCCGACGCTGACAATGGCCAGCGCTGCGCTTAGGCCGCAGGCGCAGGCCAACGCCTTGGCTGCATTACAGCAGCAAGCCAACCCCATCCGCGGCAACTCGGCGCCTGCGACATATCCGGCTCCTCGACCGCAGGGCGGCCAGAGCGAATCTGCACCGGTGTCGGCCACTACAGGCAGGAACTCGAACGAGTGGAGCTGGTCGCATGAGCTCGCGAACTTGCCCATCCGGGCCGTGTCGCTGTCGAGGAACGTCAAGGGGCACCGCCGCCAGCAGGGCTCGACGGACAGCATCTCCTACATTATGGAGGAGGAAGACAATGGTGAGGCGCGTTGGGTCATGGAGAGGCGACGCACAGGCGATGATAACGAAACGGAGCTTTTGGAACGAGAAATCATTTCTGGTGGGCGCATATGAAGACCGGCATGGGAGCTGTCATAGTAGATGTGTGCGCATATCACCTACTTGGTGAAGCTGCATTAGCATTGCAACAACGTAGCATTCCCCTTTCTTTTCATGAATATATATATAAATATACCTGGCCCATTCGGCCTGGTTTCTTTTTTTTTTTTACTGAATGATGGCGGTTTCAAAGTTAGATGCTTTTCGCAAGCAACATAGATATGAATTGAGCAATCAAGACTGCAGCTGAGCACATCATGTGTATAATTGGAGCTTCTTTATCCAATGTCTTCGAATCCCCGGCGTCTAATCGAGTCGTAGGCGCTCGAACTGCGATGATCGGTCAATGGACAAGACTGCAAGCACAGGGACATGGATGCGGAATCCTGGTTATCGAGATCGATTCCATTCCCCAAAACACACGAATGATGAGCACAAGTACCCAGGTAAGTGTTAGAAATAGCTGTGCAAACGGAGTTTCTGGCCGTTGCCCTACCTATTTTAGCACCTTCTGCCAGGTGGCGAGTGCCACCGCCTGGCGTGCTTCAAACAGAACATCATTCTCACTTGCGGCACGTTTCTGCCTTTCCATTCGCATCATAGTCCAGTCTCCCGAATTCCAGCTTAAACATCACCATGAGTGCCCAACCCAGTTCCAGTCGAGGCGTCCCGACAGCTCCCACTCGGTAAGTTTCGTTCCTCGTCATCGGCATCGTCTCAAGACCAACACAATGACCCTTGCTATCTAGATTCCGCTGCAAAGTCGGTGGGGAGTGGAAAGACCTCTCCGAATTTTCCAACGCACAGCAGAAAACCCTCCAATATCTCTCCGCCGGCGACCGGCGCCTTGATCCCGCGCACTGCGGGATGACATGCAAGCAGCACTCGGCCGGATCGCGGTCGGAGATGCGCTGCGATGTCTGCATGCTTGTCAAGCCCATTGACGAATTTAGCAAGAACTCCCGCCGCAACGGCGAATACGTAAGTCGCTGTCATTACTACTATAACGGGCATGATGGTGTTGTCATGGTCGTCCACATTCTGACACTGGCCTTTTTTTGTCTAGCAATGTCGACGCTGTGTGGCCTGGACCGAGATCCAGGAGCCTGCTCTCACTCCCGGGCCCCTGGAAACGGGCCATATCTCGCCAGAAGAGGAGCAGCAGCAGGCCCTGAGGCAGAGGTTCCTCCTAAGTCAGGACTTCTTTCCCGACGACGACGACGACGACGACGACGACGATCTCATCCCGCAGGTATGTCTTTAACGTAGCCATTTTTTGGTTCTTGTCGGAAAATCAGCCTCAAGACTAATCAGGCCGTTATGAAAAATCAGGCTCCTATTACGGCCTTTGCTTCTCTTGGACTCAGCGAGGAGTCGTGCCTTAAGGCTGTCGGGTCCGCCAAGTCCGCGGCCATTGACGAGTTTTTGTCTCGCGCTGACGACGCCTCGTCTACCCGCTCGGTTGTGCTGCCGCCGCATCTGCGCACCAAGTACAAGGCTGTCAGTGAGGCGGCTTCATCCGCATCGTCCACGGCGGGCGATATGTCGCTACCCACGACACTGCTCGAGAGCGACTCAGACACCGCGTCCATTGTGAGCCGCTCGTTCAACGCCTGGGGACCAGACGGTGGGCTGCAGCGGCGCTTCGCGGATTCCGTTGCGTCGTCGTCGGTGGCGGGATCCTCGCACGCTGCCACATCGGTGACCGAAGAGGACGCCAACGTCGTGGGCGACTGGTCTCGCGTGGGTGCGCCGAAGACGGCCGGGTTGCCGAAGCGAAAGGGAGGCTGGCCCAAGGCTTCAGAGGTATGCTGCATGATTGGTGTGACTAGACAAATCAGATTGCACCGGCGTGCTAATTTGAACACTATAGAATAATCGGCTGTCTGTCGCGGAGCTCCGGCAGGAGAATGGTGATGTGCATCAAGGGTACGTGCGGCGGGATATCGATACGCAGAAGCGTGTGCGTCCGCTTGGGTACGATTCCGAAGACTCGGATTAAGAAGGGAATTTCCGCTAAGTGGAAGTACTCTGTCTTTTTCTGGCCTGTCTTTAATTCGGCGGTCAATATTACACGCATTTGATTAAAAGTCATGATTCTCCATTTTGCAGCGCTCGCTCGGTTTCTAGAGCCGAGCTGGCTGATAATATACGCCAACTAAATTACATTTTGATACCTTGGAAGCCAAAAGTGAAGAAATGAGAGAGAAAGAAAAGCCAATGTGCCTGAAACTTGTCATGTTTTCCGAGGCAGATTGGCAAGAAAAGCTTGAAGATATGAAAACGTAAAAGAAGAAGAAAAGACCAACGATGAACCCCCAATGCTGTGTGGTTAATTTCCGAATCCTTCAAGTTGCCTACCCCGAGGCGACTGTAACCTGCATAGCCTCAAAAAAGAATTGTTGCACCCGCTTAACAGAGTTTTGAAAACAAATGCCCAAAAAGGAAAAAGAAAAAAAAAAAGAGACAAGAGGTGATTTAACATGTTTTTTGATGACAAGTCACCCCGCTTGACCGAATGGCCCCTCTTCCCCGCGTGCCACTTCCTCGCGCCTCTACCACGCCGAGAGACGCTCGAACCGCGCCTCTCGCATGCCGGCTTACAGCTGCCGATCCTCGCCATGGTTGTAATTACCCGGCGGCGCATTGAGGACCGCCTCGGCGTCACCCACTTGCTTTCGCTCCGTCACCTCGCGACGCTGCTTATCCTTGAGGCGCTTGCGCATAACCAATGATGGGCTGGACGCACCCGCGGCGTTTAATTGCTATTGCAGAGGCTCGGAGGAGGAGGACAGGCGGTTCAGGTGGAGATAGACGTCTGTGCCATATCTATAAAATTACAAAGTTAGCGGCCAGAAATCAAGTTGTGAACCATTTCGTTGTTTTCTTTTCTCTCTTCTTTTCATCTACTCCTGTTCGATCCATTTGGGCTGGTTGGGGTTGGTGGTTTCAAACTTACCCTTCCATGCTAATTAGCTTGAGATCACCTCCAAAGTAGCGCGCGTACAGCCTGGAGATGGGCAGACCGTAGCCAAAACCAGCCATAGGCGCCTTGAAATCGCTCTTATCAAAGTCCGGATCCAGATTGGGGGTGCGGTCGACGGTGGTGTACATGTAGGTCCAGACGAGCGGAATGGCGCTGCGGGGAATGCCGCCACCCTCGTCGCTAATCTTGATGGTGATGTCCTCCTTGCCCTCTGCGACAATGACCTTTGTGACGGGAAACTCTTGCTTGTCCATGCCGTGGGTCTCGACGACGGCGCGCAAAGAGTTTTTGAGAGTCTCAAAGAGCATGTGGGAGAGATGGCCGGGGACGTACATGAAGTCGAGATTGGGGTTGCAGACGAGCTGGACCTTGGGAGCCTCAAAGAGGCCGTAGTGGTCCTCGCAAACGAAGCGGGCATTCTCAATGGCCTCTTGGGCGAGGTCCTGGACATTCGTCTTTGTGCAGATGACGCCGACGTAGGTAGGGTCGCGGTGGTGGCTCTGATCGGTGAGGGCGATGTGCTGGCCGAGGAGCATGCGGATGCCTATGCGGGACATGTAGAAGCGGTCGAGGAAGGACTGTATGGTGCTGTCAATCTGGAGGCGTTGGCGCTTGCGCTTGTACTCTAGGATGCCCTGGGCCATGGTGGTAACGACGCCGTCGTGGCGGCGCTTGATCTTGTGAAGGGTCTGGGCGAAGCGCTGGTTGTAGAGGTGCAGCTCGGCGGGCCAAGCGCCCGAATCGTCGACGGTGGCATAGTAGCGACGCGAGAGCGACTTGGCCTTGCCGTTGCCGTTTGTGCCGTTTGTGTGGCCCCAGCCAGTGGGATCCTCGTCGATGGAGGGGTTGGGCGTGGCCTCGGAGAGCTGCTGGTAGCCGCCCATGAGGGCGTGCCGCGAGGGCTTCATTAAACGATCTCGTGTTTCCTTGTCGAGGTTGGGGCGGGGCAGCTGTGTGATTTCCTGGGTTGGGGGAGTCGCCGTCAGCGAAAATGATTCGGAGGGAAATGCGTGAAAATGGCGGTATGGATAGTAGAACAGAGGAGAATAGTAAAGGAAGAAGTTGAGGGTTGAATTGCGGAATTGGGAGACTCACTTCGAAAGATTGGGCATACCAGTCTTTGACCTTGATAACCGAGGGCATGTCGTTTACGCCATCAGGCAAGTCTTCCAATTCGCGGACTCTGTGGGCTAAGCGGATGGGTAGCTCCTCTGAGAGGAATTGTGAAGCTCGGAAAAGGGTCCCTAAAAGGCATGAGTTAGAATCCAGGTGGTGGCGTGGTGTTTTGTTCGAGCGCACGCAGGCTATAGCGGTAGTGGTGCGCGCGTGGGTGGTTGCAGCATCATCACCAAGTCGCTCGTAGCCGGGCCACGCCAAAAAAAAGAGCCGACTCACCTGTGGACGGCTTGTCGCCAAACTGGACCATCTGGCGCAAACTGACGCCAGTAGCGGGAAACTGTGCATAGTGACGGATGGTGTCCATCAACCTCTCAGAAGCCTTCCAGGACATTTCGGGGGATTGCGAGACGGGAAGATAGGTTTTTGCGCGGTAGTAGGTGTCGGAGAGAAGACGACGGAGAAGACGCATTGCTGCGGTCGAGGGAGGACCTGGCGGCGCGGCGAACCGGCCCCAGATTTGCGGGAGAGGGGAAGTCACGGTGGCGTGCGGGCGTCACAGCGCGCAACACCCGCTATTTTGGTGGTAAAAATAAAATGAGCAAAAAAAAGAGGGCACTAAAGAATTGGGCAGAATTGCCGTGACCACTGAAAGAGGTACCTATACAAGCACCGGTTTGGGCGTGAGTCAAAGCTGGGGAGCGAATCGGAGTGGCGGGTCGATGAGCTGCACCCAGAATTGGGGTAGACTTGCTGTAGCTTCAGCCTGTAGGGTTGATGCTGCTGGCCTGTGACTGAGGTGTGGTAGTGTATACCGGCGCTGTATCGGCCGTTGCAGTGGTGTATCGGTCTAGTATCGGTGCTATCGTGTGTTGAATATTTTAGAGTGACTCGACAGCCGAGGTTGTAGTTTGATCTCGAACACTGGGATGACGTCGTGGTCTCAGTCGCTTTGGGTATTTCAGACCAAAAATGTTCGGGTTAATTGGCATATGAAGATTACCAAAAAAAAGAAAAATTGACGAGATTGACACGGGAATCTCACTTCTTTTTATTCATCAAACCGTCCACACTGTCGCGTGTCTCCCTCACCTTTCTAGTCTACTTTTACGTGAGAAGAGGGGACCCCCCCGGCCCCTCCTTGAGCCAAGCAGATGAGAGAGCCATCCACGCCCTCTCATGACGGCGCATATTCGTTCCTGTATCATTACTTGTCCGCAGCACTCTTCTTACATGACCTGCGTCTTTACCATACTGTTAGCTTCGTCAGGGGGAGGCTTCGTGGGGCCGCCGCGAGTGTTAGTGCAGTACGTGCAGCGTGCTAAGCGGACTGATTGTCCACTGACATGCCGCCGACAGAGCGCTGCTCCAGTTCCTGACCACGCCTCTGAGTAAGACGGTAGTAATAACCCGCGTGAGAATCTGACTATCATTCCCAAGGGCCGGCATTGGCATTGGCATGAAAGCATGGCAACAAAAAGCGTAATTCCATGGTTTGAGATAGTTTAAATATGGTAGTATGCAGACGGGGGTAGATTGCGCCATGTCTCAGCTTGTGGAAGGAGAGATGCGAGGCATGCTGGCATGCTTGTGGTGGCACGGAACGTGCAAGGGAAATTTCATGAGACTGTATCGAAACAATCCCGTCTTATTTTGACATGAACATATTACGTCCAGCGCCATCCGCCATCATACTATGCTTGCGAGCACAGTAGCGTCGATTGATCGTAGTTACTTTCCTAGATGGGCTTTGAGAGCCGCACCAGATTCCATGTATTACTGCTGGTGCTGCGCCTATCAATCAAGATGCTAATACAGCACAGTCAGCACATGCAGCCATGTGCAGGTCCAACATCGTTTTTGAAAGCCCGACCGTTCATTGATTTCCAGTTTCCTTACCATGCTACAAGTCACTCGCTACCCAACCTCATCTTTCATCTTTGGCTCGACCTGGAAAATCCTGGAGCTCCAACTTGACCATCGAGGCTCCAAGATGTCGCTGAGCCGACAGTCTGGCTCGCCGGGCCCTCGGTACTAAACATCTTTAGCGGGCGGGAAAGCTGTAGTGAAACCAGAGTGCATCAGCCGCTAGTCCGTCTATGGCTGACGACTGCAAACGGCTGCGTGCTCACTCAAACAGGTACCGGTTCAGCGAAGTCAGGCATCAAATCGCGAATTTATCTCCCAAGCTGATCATGATAAGGACTGTAATTTGCTCAGCCGACTCAAAATTATCATGCCACCATGCAAAATACCTGCCTGTACCGTGTACATGACCGAATGGTACTCCTGCAGTGTTGACACTGCAAGCAAGCAATGGCCCATGGCTGGCAGCCCCCAAGCCGCCAAATCCACCCCACTTGCCCAAGTTGGACCAATCAGTCACATGTTGTTTGTCGTGCTTTTGCATCGCCTCCAACTCGGTCCTCCGTCAGTATCTCGGCCATCTCGGCGCTCCTCGGACTCTCAATTCTGTCATCTGCCCACCAGTTTGCCAATCCCTGTCCGACAAGCTTCATTGTACGCTCGTCGCTCGGTACATGCAGCCAGTTTACTGGCACACATCTCCCACCAATCAACTCACCCATCTAATCGCCAATTTGTCGCAGCCTCGTCGCCCAAATAGTCTAGTCGCGTCACGCTTTCGCCGACCGTACCAAGTACGCACACACATCGTTTGATCCTCGTCTTCTCCACGAATTCGACGACTTGAACAGTCTCACGCCACCAAGCTCCCCCCCGGCCGGGATTTAGCGCCGCACTCTACTCCACGGCCGATGCAAAGACCACTTTTTCCTTCGTCCCAAGAGGGAGAAAGTGACATAGCTCTGCTGCAGCTCCAAATCTTGACAGCCTCCGCTGCACCTCACATTGGCGGTGTGTTGCAAAACAAACGAGGTTGGGCACTGACCGGGCGGCTTCAACGCGCAGAGTAGCGCCCCCCAGCCCAGGGAGAAGTGGACTCGAAACTTTTGGTAGAACACGTAGACAGACGAAAACAGTGGTCAGCGTCTTCTCTTTTTGGCTATGGAATGGCTGAACGAGGAGTGGCAGCAAGAGGAGGACTCCGACAACGACATGCACGCAGTACAAGCTCTTCACCACCACAATAGCAATAGCCCGCATCACCACCATGGGGCCAGCTTTGGCAACGGTTCTGTAGCGCTGGATCGCCGCAGCATTGCCGGCAGCAGCACCAGCAACGGACCCGCGCCCAGCACCAACAACTTCCGAAGCTCTTACGACGGCTATCGCGATGCGCCTCCGCCCACCTCGCCGCCGCCGCCGCCGCCGCTTGTTCCCTACAGCCAGTCCAGCCCCAGCGTCGTCTCCAGCCTCAACTATTCAGCTCTTCCCAGTGGTTGGAGTCCGCTGTATCGACAGCCCTTGTCTCCGCCGTCCCAGGGCCAGGTAGCCACCGCGATTACCCGCGATGCTGGCAGCAGCAGCCGCAATGAGCTCGCCCGCCGTCTGACATTCCTCGCGCAGCGCCTCACATGTGGTGGCGACGTCGATGAGCTGGCTCTCGCTGGGCAGCTCGAACAGATGGAAAAGGCCGTCAGCCCGCCGTCCTCACCAAATCCGCGACGGCGACAGCTATCGCCGCAGCAACAGCAACGGCAGGGTCCAGCCAACAGACCGTTAGATCCTCAGACGCCCGGGTCGCCACCGCCCAGGAGCGACACCGACTCTGTGCTTGGCTCCCCGCTGTCGATGATTCGATCGCAGTTTTCCGACTTATCACTGGCATCTATGCGCGAACGCGAACGGGAGCGCGAGCAGGAGCGCGTCGCCGAGGAAGAGCGGGAATCACGCGCGCGGACTGGCATCGCCGAGGCGCAAGCCAAGCAGCTCATTACCGAGGCCAACAAGCTCAATGAGGAGCTGTCGCAGGTCGCTGAGAACCTCAAAGCGAGGCAGGAAGAGATGGAGGTATGCGCGTGACCATTCACCCTCGCAACCAATATGAGCAAGATGTCCGCTAACCGTATCATGCAGCACATCAACAACCTCCTCATCGAGCGTGCCGAGAGAGCGGCGGAGCGCATCGTCTTTTTGCAGAACCGCGTCTCCTACCTGGAGCAGGAGCTCGACGATAACGATGACGAGCTCCAGCACCTGCGCATCTGTCTCAAGGCTGTCGAGGTCCAGCTGCCGCCCAACCCTGACCTGGAGCTCCAGCGCTGCATCAACGTCTTCAAGGAGGATTTCCGCGAGCTTAAACGAAACCGCGCCAACCGCTGCGCCAGCGTCGCCTCGTCCCAAAACTTTTTTGCCTCGACGCCTGCGACGCCCAATCCCGGGCCCAAACGCGCCGCCTCTTACAACATGTATACGACACCACCATCACGAAATGATATGAGATGAAGCAACTTGGTTCTTATTTTATTTTTCTCGACATGATACCACGAGTACGAACAACCCACGAGTCTTGGCTTTTTCTCACGACTGTTTCCTTGATTTTTTTGTCTCGATAACTTTGTTGAACTGCATCGATGGAAAAGTTCTTTTTAGCGTTGAATCTTTTCTGAAACACGTCGGCAATGATGTCCCGATATGTTGAGGATTTTTTTAGACTGCCTCGAGATGGAGGTTCATTTTTGTGACTCGACATTATCACTTTCAGCTTGAATTTCTTTCTTCTCCGTTTTGATATTGTATACTGAAGCAAGCGTGTTATGCAACAAGACAAGCGCTGTAATTTGAACTAATGTAATTCATTTCGAACCTAGATTTGGTGCAATTCAAGATGGACTTTTCTTGCTCTCTCTCATCCTTTTTCAAGTTTCTCTTGTAAAGAGTCACGAAACTTGTGCTCGGTGGACGTCTTTCTTGGCCTGACTACTACATCTTGTCTTTACGGCGCGAGGCCTAGAGGGTCAAGGAGGGAGCCGCTAGTTTATTTGAAGAAGGATTACCTGGTGCCCTGGATAGAGCGCAATGACTTGATTTACCAAAATGCCAAAGTAGCGGCAGACCAGACGACGTCAAGGGGCAAAAAAATATTCACTCAGCTCAGCGTTCCCAAAGACGAAGAATGCGTAGACGCCGCTTACGACGTCGAGCGCGCTCTGTTTGATTCACGCCCTGTCAAACATATGCGTGCATTCATACACGAACGCCTTCCTCCCTGTCATCCTCGATGTGTGGATGACGGTGCTGTTGACGGCGAGCTGTAGCGGCATAATGTTCTCGCTCCGGGCCGTCGCCTTGCTTGCTCGTCCTCCCGGCATCCGTCCGGGTGGTGAAGTTCCAAGTTCCCCCTCCCTCGTTTGTGTCAAACGAGTCGATAACGACAAATCGCGGCGTCGCAGCCGTGCTTATCTAGTGCTTGGACTGTGAAATCGGGTCAGCCGAGGTGCAGCAGGCGGGTTGCTGCTGCCGAGCGGCGCGGCAAGCCCGGGTAATGATGATGGAGGTGTCGGCACCGGCGTCAAGCTGATATGAACGGCTAGTTTGCCGGAAATTGTGGTGTTGAGAGAGGGGCAGCCCGGCGGCAAGCTCAGTCTGGAAAACGTGCTCCTGGCCGTTGGGCGAAGGGTGAGGAAGACGGGGACGGCAAAAGACGATGAGGGGAATGGCGTAGAATTTGTCGAGGTGACCAAGGCCGGTGGCAGAGAATGATGACGAGGAGATTGCTTCGAATTAGGGAGACAAGCCGAATAGACGGCATAATGGATCGAAAGATGAGAATCGAACTGGTCGAGGAAAGGGTCGTTAAGGCCATTGACGTACACGACAGGCTTGCTCCGGCTCCTACTCATACTTGAAGAAGGCTCGACGAAACAGCGAGGCTGGTAAATAAATACCGGTCAAGAATACCATCTGCTCAATTGATGTGAATTTTTCTACTTTACTACCATTGTTTTCTTATACAAACAGCACGACCCTGTGATTCTATCATTATGAGTCCCATGTCTCTAGTCCGGTATCGTGCAAGGTTGGATTTACAAAGCGCCGCGCTCTCATTCTTTCCGCAACAGCATTGTGCACTTAAACATGCCTTTGCCAAATATGAAATTTCGTCATAATGAATCTCGCCACCCGCCACAATCAGCCAAAGTTTTACCCCGTACTTTTAAGCTGCCAAGATGGCTGTAGGCCCGATGGAGTATCCCAGGGCGCAGCGGAGAGCCCGGCGGTCATGAGGCTTGTTGTGGCGTTTGGAAGGGCTTCTGGGCTCACTGAGAAGAAGGGTTCAGTTCGTATTAAGTAAATCTGAAAAAGGTATGAAGTACCCCCCCGTTTTTTTTTCTTTTTTTTTTCTTGAGACGGCCGGGGATGAGTGATGATTGGCGGCTTTCTTTCCGCATCTCGAGCACATACAAGGGTTTAAGAAGCTGTTGTGGTTCTGTGGACAAGGTGGTCCGCGCTGGCCGGCCGGCTGGCAATTACAGGGCTCGGATGCATGAGCCAGCGCATCTGTTGCTATCGGATTGTTTTCTTTTCTTCTTCTCCTGTTTTTTTGGGCAAGATTTGGGTAAAGTCGGCATAGTACGGTAATTTTTTACCGCCTCATTCCGCCAAAGTTGGAAGACGTCTGCCCAGGCAGGCAGGCAGGCAGATTGTGAGAAGGCGGCCGCGGACCTGCAAAGAACATGCTCGAGGCCGATGGAGACGAGATGCGACACGCAATATTGGTGATCATATCGGCGGGGAGAGGACAACGGTACTTTGTGGCTTCTGGCCTCTCTCAAAACGGCAAAAGATGCAGTGTAACAAGGGCTGTCGTGTTCTAGAGCACTTCCCCCCCCCCCCCCGGCCAACTCCAGCTGTGTTCTGCGCCGCAGCTGGCGGCCAGCTCACCGAGAAAACTGATATATGACTGCTTAGTTTATTAGTTGTTCGAATCCTTCAGACTAGGCAAAAGTAGTTCTCGTGGTAGTTATTTTCTGCAATGCCTGCAAAAGACCCCCCCTCCTACTTGCGCTGTCGTATCCAGAGACATGCGTTGGCCGAGCACGAGACCACGGACGGACCATGCAAGCTTTTACCCTGACAGCAAAGGTACGCTTTGCTGTCCTGCATATTATGCATGCAAAAGGCTAGGCTAGTTGGAAAGCCAGATGTTCGGAGTTGGCAGTCAATTTTTCTCAGGGCGAAAGCGCCAGTATATGCATAATATGATGCTTCGTTGCAGAGAGGGCTACTTGAGCAAGCACGAGGTAATGAGCCGCCGACTGGCTTGCATTGAGCATCGACTTCTAGATAGCAAATTTTCTTCAATAAATAGCTACCCGGTAAGTTAGGCCGGGGGTGGGGTGTTATTATTATTATTAATATTATTTTTTACAGTTTCAAGTCCAATTGGGAGCCTGAGAATGCGCTGCCTCTGGATGAGAATCTCGAGGTTGGGAAAGTAGCACACAATGAGAGAGCAAAACGGTTGACAGTAAAAATCATCAATTTCAGGTATAATTGTCATGGCTCACAAACCGAGCCTTGTCGTTGGTTTGAAAAATGAAGCTAAAAACTAGTGTATCGTAATTTTACAATGTATTACAGTCTGTCAGGCACGAGATGTTCTTCCCTCGCGCCGTCTATAACGCGACTCCTCGCCGCCCTCGTCGCTCCATCTGCGATCTCCACGGCGCCGCTCCCGCTCCCGCTCCCGCTCCCGTTCCCGCTCCGACTCCTTGCCATCCCGTCGGACAACATATCTCTTGGATCCCCGTCGCGGGCTCTCTGGCCTCGCATTATGCAGCTTCACGTACCGCGTGTATGACCGGCCGTCGCGCTCCTCCCTTCTCTTGCTGCTGCTGGTGCTGGTGCCATGCGGCACCACAATCTCTGCCACCTCGTTCTCGTAGTCGCGCCGGCAGCGATGCAGGTGCTCCTGTCTGCTGCGCGAGTCCGAGTGGATCAGCGGCGGCTGGTTCTGGCCCCCTGAGCCGGTGGCGGCGCGCGCCGGCGCAGACGGCCTGCTGTCCGGGCTGGTGGCGTGCCTCCAGTCACGAATCGCGCTCGTAACGAGGTGCACCTCGTCTAGATTTGCCTCGGCGGGGAGCAGATGACGCGAGATTTGCCGCGGCAGCCTGGCGCCGCCACGCTGCTGCTCGCTGCTGTACTCGACGGACGGGTCCTCGGGAGCAGCCTCGAGAGCAATATCTGCAAAGATGCGACCAAGCCTGGCGGCTTCCTGGTCGGGAAAGGCGCGGATGAGCATGACGTTCCACTGCACGAAGCCTTCTGGGGTGAGGGCGGGGATGCATGGCCACTTCTTGGGGCCGGGGGAGCTGGCTTGTACAAGGTGGAAGTCGCACTGCAGGCTCAAGTAGAGCTTTTCCAGTCTGGACATGGCCCTGGGGGAGGTGAGGCTGAAGATTCCTGGGCACCGAGTCAGTATGTTTTTTCTTGCCGGTCCAGAGATGAAATGGGTTTTGCGGCTTACGTTCAAAGTCTACAGCTTCTCTGTCGAGTCCATACTTGGTATAGAATTTGTAGAGCTTCTCTGGTGTCACGACCAGAGAGTAGTTTGGCTTATACACCTCGATCTGATGGGCTTGTTAGCATGGCTGTGTCGTGGCATGGCGTGTTAGTCGCGCAACTTACCACATGAATAGCAAGGCCGCGCAGCACATTTCTCATTCTCACAGTTGCCTTGCCCTGCGGTGTGAATAGGGTTCCCCATCTCTCGTCCTGTATCGAGAGGATCCTTTCGCGCGGTGGATACGATTTCTCCCGTTGAGATGTGCCATCGGTCCATGATGTGTGGCGGGCCGAGGTGCTGCGCTGGAGCACAGTCGGGGCACGGTCCGAGAACCGCACCTCTTTGATGATGGGGGCAGTTACATGGACAGAAGTTCTCGCAGCTTCAACGTGGTGTTTTGTGGGTGACGTGGGAGCAGAGGCAGCGATTGTGTGCTGTAGCCTGGGCCGGGTATGCTCCGGTCTCGAAGTCCTTTTGATGTGTTGGGGCTACGGCAACGCAGGAGGGGGTTGGGGTATCTTGGTCGTCTTCAGATTCTGTACAATCCTCAACGGTAGCCTGGTATCGAGATTCTCTCATTGGGTTTGCTCTATCGGGGGAATTATCGGTATCGCTGTCAGCTATTGTGGGAGCCGGGAGCGAGCCTTCTGAATATGCTCTGATGAGTGGCGTTGTATTTCCTTTGCGGGCGCAATCAGCATGTTTTGTTCCGGTTATCAATCCCTCATCAAAGCATTGCAACTTACCAGGCCATGTCTTGAGCAATTCGTCGAGAAGGCGCTTCTTCTCTGTCGAAATGGCGATGATCTGGTTCAGTTCCTGCTGGGACTCGAGGAGCTTTGTGATATCCGCGCTTTGTGCTGCCTTGGTATCGGTGCCTGGCGGCAAAGACCCATTAGCGCCGCGGGTATCAACATCCACAGCGTGCAATGATGGAGATGCCTGACTTGACGATGCCGCTGTGCTTGATGTGGACATCCGTCCGTCATGAGGTACGTTCCCATGACACTCCCACAGCTCGCCTTGTGGCAGGGAAGAGATGAGACCTGGGGCCATTATGGTTCATCAAAGAGAGTGCTTCTGGTAACTGGATGCTATAAATCAAGAATTGGGGGCAGAACGTGTCTTGCTATTCTGGTCATCTATACGAATTGTAGAAAAATGGAAGTGATTTGGTCTCGAGCAAGACTGGGTGCAAGCCGGTATTTCTACTGTTGCTTGGTAGGAGCAGCAGCAGCAGTAGCAGTAGCAGTAGCAGTAGCAGTGTACTCAACTCAAGACAACCAGCACACATCATCGCCCAGGTTTCCTTAGACACCGCCTGGCATGTCCCAGCCTGAGCATCACACCCTCATCGGCAGCCCCCGTCTGTCATTCTGGTACAAGAGGGTGGTGGGCCACGTGTGCACGCCTGGCCGCCTGGCCGCCTTGCCAGGACGCACGACATGTTGGGAAAAAGGCGAAGGTGCTGACCGGGACGAGGCCGCTTCGCCCAGCAAGCACCTCGGCATCGAAAGAAAGCGCCGCTGCGGCCGTTTGTCGTCGCTTTTGAGCAGTCACGTTTCGCCACAGAAAGGGCACGGGGGATTCCTTTGTTCGGGTAACGGATGTCTGCTGGCAACTGTTGACGAATGACATGGCGGCGGCGGAAGGGGGGGGGAAGGGGGAGGGGAGGGGAGGGGAGGGGGAAGAGACGGTGCAAAAAGCCAAGTGAGGCGGGAAAGATGGCGGCGCAGCCACTACACTCGCCCGAACGTGCAGAGCGGTTGGTGGCTTTTCACTGCATAGGTAGGTACATAGGTAGTTTGGTAGTGTGCATAGTTGCATAGGTAGGCACATTGTGTTAATTGTGGGAGAGACTACCTAGGTGACTAGCCATCAACTTCATCAGCCACCTTTTTTACATTTACATTTGTGCATGCCCCGGGATGCTGCACAACTTACTGCCGCCGCCGGCAACGAGCCCCGGTATGTATGGAGTGCCCGTGCTGAGCTTCGTGCTTCATTGTTTAACTCGAGTTCAGAGTTGCAGTTGCATCGGTGCCTTGAGTCTCACAGGGCTAGCATGTACGGCAGGCAAAAAGCTATGTACTTGAATATATTATATCTGGTCTGCATCGGGCCGCCTTTTTCCCCTTGGCCCAACTGCTCATGATATTCAATAAGATCTGCGAGAGCGCCACTCTGGTGGCAAGGCAACTCTTTCATATTGACGAATAAAAGGGCTGCCCGAAGCCAGCCTTGCCATAGGCCCGCCGCGGCAACACCAGCCACGCACACCACGGTAGCCAACAAGGCGATACACCAGTGTATATATCCGTCATGTAGGTATATATGTAGCATAGCATAGCATCTCATCGCGGCCTATTACTTTTACAGAAACGACTACATCGAGTCGTTCTAGACTACTGCGGTGGTGCTCGACTGGCTGAGCCGCCACGGATCCTCGCAAACCTCGCCCATCTGCGACCTGCATTAGCCAAGGCGAAGTAGTCATTTCATCCCTCCCGTTGCGCGTGAGAGATGTTTCCCCTGCAATCCTGCTTCAGCTATGCTCGATTTGGGCGCCTACTGCAAACTGGAAAATAGTCATTGAATTTGGTCAAGCGCCAGAATTATTCTCCTGGCCGCTCTACTCTTGGCGTGGAGTTCTGGTGTGGTTGCACGAGGCTGCGACTTGTCCCCGTCCCCCTCCTTTTGCACTGTTTAGGTATAAAGTGGAAAACAAATGACTGCAAAAAGTGTTTCACCGTCGATTCAGCCATCTACGTCCTTGTTGCATCTGCCCATTGACGTGTCCCCCGAAGATGGGCTGCTTGCTGCCTGGCATGCATTCGACGCACAGCAGTAGACCTGACAGATCATGGCAGGCGCTTAATGCAACGAAACTGGGATCAAATGAAAATTTCTCTCTTGACATATTCCCAAAGTATTGATGCCTTTTTCCGTTTGGAGGGGGGGCACTCAACCAGATGTGGTGCTGTTCCCCAGTCTTGAATCCTTATTACCCCCCCAGATCAAGGCTCTAATCTTTTCAGCTTGTGACAGTATATCTGGGTATGACTGCATAGGTGCCTCTTTTCGGTTTCTTCACCGACTATCTCAGATTCAAGGTGCGATGGCTTCAACAAGAAGAAGAAAGCTTGGATTTGGGCATCATGTCAGACGTGCCAGATGCACCATGCGACAATGACGGTTAGGTGGCAAGCAGGTGGCAATGAGTGGCAAACAATGCTGCTCGAGTAGTTGCAATTTCAAGGTGAACTCGATAGATGAGATGCAGTCCTCGGAGAAATAAACAATATACCGCTTTTCTTTGCTCTTATTGTTGTTGTTATTTTTGTGCGCTTGTTCCATTTGAGTCACTTTTCTAGCTGAGCAGTGCGACTGAAGCGTACTGGACTGCCTGTTTTGAACACGTTTCTTTCATTTCACCCATTTTTCCTTGTCAAATCGGAATCAGTCGCCTCTCCATTACGTACTTGCCTCCATACTTGGGTGACTGCGATCAACATATTTCTTGTGTCCCAAGCGTACTATATCTTGTCTGCCTGGTGTGTGTGGCTTGGCGAAAATGTACAACTATTCTGCTTTTTTCACTCTCTTCTTTTTCTTGCAACCCTTTCAAAACGACTTGTTTGTAAATGCCGCAGTATAATCTTGCGGTCAAGAGCTGCTTGCTCGAGTACGTGTTGAGCTTCACCGTGCCCGATCCCGACCCGATGGCCCCCTACCATCCCTTGGGGGCTAGCAACACGCCTTGACTCACTAATACCCAAAGAAGAATGCTAAAACAGGTGAGGTATGCCAGTGGCGATATTGGGCCATTTTTTTGGACTGGCTGAAGTGTCATCAAGAGGCTGTCGCCATCTTCCCAATATCGAGCCACGATTCATGACGGGGGAGAACCTGGGTTCCAACGTTGAAATCTCGAATTGTCGTAAAGCTCCTGTGATTCTAGTCTAAACCTAAACATGTTTTTTTAAAAAAAAAAATCAGATTTTCAAGAACAAGGGAAAAGCTTCTCCTCCTTTGTAAGATACTTTTAAAGTCACCACCGAGGAAACTTCCTCTAGGAGAGCAGTGTTGAAGCGGTGGCAGTGGCCAAGCATCATCGCTGCATACCAAAAGCCTGGCGCGAACCCTAATCAGGAAAAACCCAAATGAGCTGAAGCTCGATTAGATTATGAAATAAAATAATCGGGGTCTATTGTTTCATTGTTTCTCCATCATTCTAATCTGGCTAGTTTCATCAATTCACCAGCAACACTAACCAGCTTAATCCGTTCACGTCTAACTAGCTGGCTTGATCCATAACAAGTTGCCACTGTAAAAGCACCCAAATCTTTAAGCTTTACTGTAGCACCATTTGGAGAAATGCGACAACATCGTCCGCTCCCGACGGAGAGTTGAACCAGTGCCCTCCGTCTGGGTACTCTTTCCAAGTCACTTTGGCTCCAAAAGATGTGAGCACGTCCCGGAGTCCTCGTCCATTCTGGATGCGCACAAGAGGGTCATCCACGCAGTGCTCCAGCAGAATCGGCGTGTTGGCCAGCAATTTGTTGTCATCCGGCACATTGCTCAGCCCCAACACCTGGCGCATACCCTCTAGCCCGCGCCCTGCAAAGGGACAGCGCGCCGAGAAGCCCAAAAATGCACCCAGACGGCCCTCTGGTGTCGGCACCTTGAGGTTGAACAGCGTATGCACGCTCGTCGCGCCGCCCATGCTGATGCCGGCAATGATGACCTTGTCCCAGCGGCCGCCCAACGTTGCCGCCTCGTCGGCCAGCAGGTCCCGAATCTGGGGCACCACCTCTTTCAGCCCCTCGAGTTGCAGCTCCTCCCGCTCGGCAAAGTCGCGCGGGTCCCAGACGTCGAACCACTGGGGCCAGCTTTCGGGGATGGCGAAGCACTTGCGCGTGGGCGCCTGCGGAAACACCCATCGAAAGGACGGAAAGTTGTCGGCGAGGTTGCGACCATGGGAGTCGCGAAAATGGCCAAGGGCGGCGACAAAGTTGGTCGTGTTGTCGCCGCGGCCGTGGAGGAAGACGACGGTGTGCGTGTGAGCCGCCGATGCGGGGATGACTTTGAGCTGAAGCGGGCTGGCCATTGTGATGGAGAATTTATTTTTGAAGAATGAGTCTGTGACAAAAGAGTTATGGTGGTGGGGACGGGGAAGGGGATGAGAATGAGAATGAGAATGAGTATGAGAATGAGAGAGCAGATGGATGAGCAGTGTAAAAGTAAAAAGATGCAAGGGCTACAGAATAAAGAAAGAAGGCGAGATGAGAAATGGTGAAATGATTTAAGCGCCCGACATTCTTGTTGTGGTTAACCAACGTCGGCCACCCACTTCTCGGCATGACATGCCTGCGTTTCCACTATGCTCATTGGAGAAGATTAAACAAGAAGAATTTTAATCAAGCCACAGGAATAAACAATTGGTCACGCGAAGAACATTCTACAAACGTACTTTCGACTGCGGGACACGCACAATGAAGCTTTCCAAGTAGAAACAGTTCTTGGTGGGTAGTAAACTCTGTCGGCGACCAAAACAACTCCACAAAGGCGTCACGTTTCCATAAACCAGGACATTTTAACGGAACAAAACTTTCTCATGGGCTAGAAATCTCGTACATATAACAAAGAAAATAATTGTATTTAACTAGAGATTTTAAACAAACAGAAATCGCACAGAAACTGGTCAAGGGTAGACAAAGACTAGACAAAGAGACAATAAAAGGCAGAACAAAATGACAAACTATAGAGGGAAAGCATGAGACATCGGCCGAAGAGAAAGAACTGTAAGAGGCAAGCCACAGTTTCTGAGAAGTGTGGTTGCTCAACGCCGAACAGCGTTGACGTATTGGTACGTTCTGTCACCTGCTGTAGGACGCTGCTCATGGTAGTGATCGCGTCGGACTTCAACGGCTCTGGGACGGTGCATTTCAGGGGCGTGTGTTTCCGTCTCCATTGGTGATGGCTCGTAGTAACGTTCGCGACGGACCTCAACGGCTCCGGGCCGATGCATTACAGGGTGGTGTACTTCCGTCTCCATTGGTGATGGGCCATAGTAACGGCCGCCATATCCGTGACGACGCCCACCGCCGTACTCAACTTCAGTATCCATCGGGGACGGCCCATAGTATCTCACAGGCGTCTTGTTGCCCATTGCTTGCGGTGGTGGGAGGATCCATTGAAGCTCGTTAATGAGTCGTGTGGCTCCCTGGTCTCGTAAGGTATCCGCAGCACGGACTGCGTGGTGCTCGATGTTCTCTGATAGATCGTTAATGGGTGTACATGGGGTTCTCTCGATACAGGAACCTACCAATTGTTCCGGGGAGTTTGATAACTTGGTGTCTTTGCAGACCACTCAAGAGCTCCTTCACCCACACACGGCATGTCCATTGCACCTCACCACGAGGAATGTGTCGGGGATCCATGAGAGGTATTTGCGCAGCAATTGACTTGATGGTGTCGATTGACGGCGCTCTGCAAAGAACGAGACAAGCTGTCATGGTCTTCGATCTCATGGGATCAGAAACGGTGCGGAACTCTACGTAGAGGTCCAAGGCGCGGCGGCCGCGGTCAGTCGCGTGGAACAAGGTGCCCTCGGGGACTCTGTTCTCGGTAACGTAGAGGCCCCAGTGCTATCGAGTATGTTAGAAATAGCTGCCAGTGACTTATACTCTCTTGTTTACTTACATATTTGTTCTGTTCGTTAATCGTACGTAGATACTGTAGAGTGATGTAAACAGTGTAAGGGTGCGGCGTCGACTCTTTGGTTTCTGGGCGTGGCATTGTGAATAGAGAGGCCCAAGTAGCTGCTGGAGACAGAAAGAGTTCAGAAGAGGAGGTTGCAATATTGGACAAGACTGCTAATGAGTTCTGATGGAATTCAAGAGGAGGAAGAGGTATGTTTTATATTTCGAGTAATATATTTTTGTCCTTGAAGCAAGACTCGAATGGCGGTTTGTGGTGTTAGTTGGCTTGCTCAAGTCCCCCCCTCGTGGCCAGTTATTTCCTAATCTATTGGATTTCCAAAATCCAGTCTGTTAGAGATATGCAAAGCCAAATTACTGTCTCCAGAAGGCCGAGGCCATTTTGGCCCAGTAAGTAGGACAGGCTACATGTCCTCTCATCTTTGAGACTGCCTGAGGTGGAGCATTTTCACTGAGGAGATACTATCGTGACCCAACATCGGCGGGGAAAACAACTTAATCCAATGAAACTATCAATATCGATGGACTGTTTTTCTCTCGAGTTGCCCATGTTGGCCATAGCCTAGCCCTCGTCACATGGATCAAAGAAGGTGCTGGCCGCGCCCAGTCCTCGTTTCAATTGACGGGCGGCAAGGCGGAGAGTTTAGCGAAGGGGCCGGGCCAACCAGAAGGCAAAGAATCAGCTATAGTCATGCTTCTCTATTATCATTCTAGTTGCCGACTATGCCGCTGACTATCATGTACCTGTATTAAATGCTCATGTTGGACCTGTTGACCTCGTTGGCAGTGCTCTGCGGCCCGCACCGAGCGGGGGCGATTCTAGCCGCCCGTGAAGAAGTAGAAGTCAGCACGCCAGTTACAAGGCATGCGGCCCAGTAACCCGGCGCCTGGCCTCCCCCTATCTCCGTAACTCGTCACCCATCGCCATCTGCCACGCCCCCCTACTTCGAGTCCTTTGTTCATCGTCTTTTTCAACACATCTTCGGTCACTTCAACTGCGTCAGCTACTTCGGTCACTTTGAAACGAGTCGCAGCCCCCTTTCAATGGACCCGCCGAGACAAGGCATCCAGGGCACCCTGTCGTTGGTGGAAGCGCTCGAGCTACCCCATCCTGCTGCTGCTCTCCTTCGCGCCTTCATTCTCGATGCCCTCGATTGTAACCTAGCCGCCGACTATGTCCGGTCCAGAATCGGATCAAGGGAAGAAGCTCATCGTCTGGTATCTGATTGGATCTTCATTGTCCAAGCTAGTAAGCCGGTCCCTTTCACAGTTCATGTCGATTGCAAAATTTGATGTGAACGTGTCTAGTCTCCAGCAACGGAGTTGAACTGGAAGCGCCAGACAAAACCGCCGTTCGGGAAATTGTGGAACGAGATGGAAATGTATGCTGTGTATCTGGCATGCGAGGCACTTTCTGGAACCCTCTCATCGTCGCGCCCATTCTGCCTCTCCCCGCAGACTGGCTCAAGAACCAGGCAAGTCACACAAACACCCAGATTCCCGATTCAAAGCGCTAATCTTTCCAAGCATCGTTCGGTACCAATATTGTCTGCCTTTTTCGGTGGGCCGTACCTTGATTGGTGGCTGAGTACTATTGATACGCCTCAATTTATATCGGCACAGTCGAGTCATTGGCTTGTCAGACAAACCGTGGCTGGGGCTCTGAAGTGTGGACAAATCAGACTTGACAGAATACGGTCATCCATGGTCGAGGTAGCCGCCGATTCCCTTCTTTCTCTCGTGCTTGTACTAACGCTGATGTAAAATTAAAGTATAGAGTTCATCCAGTGTCCATTACCTTGACAGACCCGATCCAATTGAAGGGTAGCATGGCATTACTTGGCGACCACTCGCGTGCAGGCATCGAGAAGGTTGACCCCCGATTTGTTGGTACTCACGCCCGGCTCTGCAAAAGTGTACAGCTTGTCAACCTCATCAAAACCATGGCCCCTGAATTGCACGAGCGCAATCATGACCTGCTCCCAACAGCGCCTGCCGCAACTACAGCTCCACTGGGGTGCGTTATATCACGTCAGAGGCCATTCAGCTTGGCAAGGCTTTTCTCACGCCCTCTTTTTTTTATTTGGCGGCTAATTCCACAAGCGCTGCGTTTCTCCGCCTACAAGAAGCTAATGCGTTTTGGAAACTACTGGTACGGAACTACTGGTGCTTCCGGCATTGTTACCAAGCTACCATTTGGATTATTTTTGAAATATAGTGCCAATATTGAATGCGTTCGAAATGAATTCAACGCTCTTGATGTTGTTGGCAAGAATACAGGCGTACCCGTGCCACGTGCGTTGGACTTTGCATCCAAGTGGATTACAGGCAACAGCGAACTTCTTCCTCAGGGCTATTACAGATCGTATATGCTTACTTCTGAGTTGCCGGGAGCCGCATTATCGCTTTGCATGGATGCAATCTCAGATGCTGACTACCAGCGAATTCAGCTACAACTCCAAGCCTACGTCAGCCAGATACGGGATATCCCCAAGACGGTCAACCCTGATTTCGCCATCTGCGATACCCGAGGGGAGGCTTGCCGAGACCCCCGGATCGGAGATTTCACACCGATTGGTCCGTTTAAAGATGAAGCCGCCTTTAGTCAGGAGCTGCGCTTCCCGGACGAGCCAAGCCGACGAGGCCATAAAATCGTCTTTACGCACGCTGATCTCAATCCCCGTAACATCATTGTCAACCAAGTCAAGGATGCAACGGGTACGCTGCACTGGGAGGTCTCCGGAATCGTGGACTGGGAGGCGGCCGGCTACTACCCAGAGTACTGGGACTGCACAAAGTCCATGTTTGAGGGGTTCCGGTGGCCACGTAGGCACAATGATACTATGAAGCGTGTCTTTGCAAAATTTGGAGACTATTCGGCTGAGCTAGAGCTGGAGACAAAAGCCTGGGAATCAGGCGACGGCGTCTAATAATGGAGGAAACTAGAGGGAATTGGACAGTAGCAAGTTGCGGGGTTCTTGAAGAAAGTCTAATATATGCTGATATAATATGTCTAGAGTTGTGAAATGATATTACCAAGTTATTAGGAATATTCAATGAGTAGTACTGTAGTATCTATTTTATTAGGGGATTTAAATATTAAGTAGGAGGTTTCTACTATAGTTCCTAACTTCTTCTCACTTATACAACTAATAAGCTATACTACAGCTTCTCAAAAGTAGGCTTTTGAAAATAACAAGAGCTAGAGTTTATTTACTTATACGCTGACGAGCTATACTGGAGCTTATTAAAGATTTAGTAGGCTTTATAAAATTTTAGGGCAAGGTGAGCACATGATTGGCGAAATAGGCATGTACTGCTGGCGGGCAGGCGGGGTACTCGGCCCCTCGTAAAGCCTGTGATGGCGCTACAAAACATGTCATCGGGGGGTTCTTGGTGCGGGCACTAATCATGTGCTGGTAGCACAGGCTCATTACTTTTACAAGTTACCTATATCAAACGCAACCCAATCAATCCCCTTATGGGTTTAGTGAGTGCCTGTGAGGCGCAAAGCTAGCAACCCTGGCCTCGTGTGCCATGTAGCCTGAGGCGGAGTGCCGCCGCCCGAGTCGGCCGGCCCCACAATAAAAATGTCCAAGTAGAGGCTATCCCCCCGCCTCCAGGCTGGCTGTCTATTCCAGCAAAGCTCGGTAGGTATGCTTGTTGTATTGGGACAGCTTATTTCTACATGTAGAACAGAGTGTTGACTCAAGAGGTAGCCGTCTACATACGAATCCAGCAATTGATATGAGCATGTCAGAGACTGTACTTGTGAACGATCTCTGACCAGAAAGCCCCTTGTCCTTGGTCGGCAATAAACTTTCAGTTCACTTTCAGCGGCTTGATAGCGCGTCCTGACGCCTAAACCCTTCTGGAATCACCCGCTTTACAGGGAAAATCCGCCTGAAGCTTGACCTTGCTCGACGTCACCAAGACGACATGCATACTTTTTTAACCCTACCCTCCCTCTCGTAGCTCTTCATTCTTTCCTTTCCTTCTATACACTGACAGACATGCCCATACAAGGGTTCGCCTTGCTCTAACATTCTTTTCGATTGGCTTTTCATATCAGCATTGGGCCAGTCCTCGCTTTCGCTTTACCTTTGCTCCCCCCCCCGGTACCCTCGCTCCGACTCTCCGAACAGCTCATATACCCGACGCCACCACGCCCGCCGGCCGTCTGCGCATCGACACTTCAACATCATGCCCGGCTCGTCGCGCATGCCCATCAGCCTTCGCGGCTCCGGCGCTCTCAAGCCCGGCACCCCGTCTGCTCTGTCTTTGGGCCTGGTGAATCTCGACTTGTAATGCCAACCCTCCTTTTCTCCGTTTTGCTCTGTCCTGCCCTCAAATGGGCAGAAGACTTTGCGCCCACCTTTGGACAAAAAAAAAGGCCACCTTTGCTAACCTCGGAAACTGCTTGCTTTCCTTTTCTTTGCTCCAGGATCCGTAACATCATCTTTGTCTACTTTGTCTCGCGATGGACGCGCCGCCTCTACTGGAAGCTCAGAGGCCGCGGCGTCATCGGCGCCATCCTCGAACTGTACCGCGACATCCGCCGCGTCCTCTACGGCTGGTTCCTGCAGGCCCCCGGCGTCCGCACGCAGGTCCGCGCCAAGGTCAAGGAGTCGCTCGACAAGATGGCCGCCAAGCTCGTCCCGCCCGCGCAGACCCGCTACTTGACGCTGCCCAAGGAAGGGCTCCCCGAGGAGACGATCCGCGCCGAGCTCGACAGCCTCGCCAACATGGACCACACCCGCTGGGAGGACGGCTACGTCTCCGGCGCCGTCTACCACGGCGAGGCCGACCTGATTAAGCTCCAGACCGACGCCTACGGCCTCTTTACCGTATCCAACCCCATCCACCCAGACGTCTTCCCCGGCGTCCGTAAGATGGAGGCCGAGGTCGTCAGCATGGTCCTCAACATGTTCCACGCGCCCCAGGGCGCCGCCGGCGCCTCCACGAGCGGCGGCACCGAGAGCATCCTCCTCGCCTGCCTGGCCGCGCGCCAAAAGGCCTATGTCGAGCGCGGTGTGACGGAGCCTGAAATGTAAGCGCGGAGCTATGAAGAAACCCCCCCCCCCCCCCCTTCCCCCGACTCCCATATCAGCATCCCGTACCAGTACCCCGTATGTGCCACTAATGCGACAAGACAGGATTCTTCCCATTACCGCGCACACGGCCTTCCGCAAGGCTGGCGACTACTTCAAGATCAAGGTGCACTTTGTCGAGTGCCCCGCGCCCAACTACCAGGTCAACCTCGCGGGCGTCTCGCGCCTCATCAACCGCAACACCATCATGCTCGTCGGCTCCGCGCCCAACTTCCCGCACGGCATCATCGACGACATTGCGGGCCTGTCGCGGCTGGCCGTGCGCAACAAGCTGTGGCTGCACGTCGACTGCTGCCTCGGCTCCTTTGTCATTGCCTGCCTCGAAAAGGCGGGCTTCGAGGCGGAGCCGTTTGACTTTCGCGTCAAGGGCGTGTCGAGCATCAGCGTCGACACGCACAAGTACGGCTTCGCGCCCAAGGGCAACTCGACGGTGCTCTACCGCACCGCCGCCCTCCGCACCTACCAGTACTACGTCTGCCCGGACTGGGCCGGCGGCGTCTACGCCTCCCCCGGTCTCGCCGGCTCCCGCCCGGGTGCCCTCATTGCCGGCTGCTGGGCGAGCCTCATGTCCGTCGGCGAGGCCGGCTACGTCGACTCGTGCGCCAAGATTGTCGGCGCCGCCAAGAAGATTGCCGACGCCATCCGCGAGTCCCCCGCCCTCGCCGGCGAGCTCGAAATCATCGGCCGCCCCCTCGTCTCCGTCGTCGCCTTTACCGCCCAGAACCTCGACATTTACGACATTGCCGACGCAATGTCCAGCAAGGGCTGGCACCTCAACGCCCTGCAGAACCCGCCCGCCATCCACGTCGCCGTCACCCTGCCCATCACAAAGGTCTGGTCCAAGCTCATCAGCGACCTCGAGACGGCCGTCGAGGAGGAGCGCGAAAAGGAGCGCGTGCGCGTTGTCGAGGGCAAGGGCGCCAAGGGCAAGGCGGTTGGTGATTCTGCCGCCCTCTACGGCGTGGCTGGCTCGCTGCCCAATAAGAGCGTCGTTGTCGACCTGGCTACTGGTTTCCTTGATTTGCTGTACAAGGCGTAAAATTAGATATCTGTATCTCCTTCCATGTCATAGTCATTTTGGATGTCCTTTTTTTTTGTATACTGTGTTGGAGTATAGCAATAGTCATATTTTCACCAGAAGCGAATTGAAACATAAAAGGTCTCTTTATTTTTCCAAAACAATTGCTCGTCCATGTGTAGCGTTTCTTAGTCACCCCTTGCATAGCCCAGTTTTGGGTCGTCGCAACAAGGTGGATGCGACAATACAGCATGTGAGGTCTCGAGAACGGGCCGCCACATTTATTCACCACCATATATCTGTTAGCGGCGGCATCAAATGTCGAGTTAGCTGGCCGTCCATCGAGAGGCAAATGCTGAACTAGATGGCTCACAGATTCAGGGTCCAAGTCAACGAACGGCCTCCACTGATGGGCACACTGCCATGAGTCCCTTATCGCCCCGCCGCGGGGTCCTTCGGGCGATTCTGCGGCTGAAGCGACAAGCTCCGGCACCGATGTCTCACTTTCGCATGACGCGGCCTGCCCATTTCAATGCCTCTCGCATGGGCGATCCATTTCTGCATGGCAACGGGAACAAAGTAGCGGTCTCTAATTTAAGGTGTGCCGCTCCCCCCGTGAAGAAAGAGCTGATTTGAAATCTGCAAGGCAAAACGCCAAGCTTACACTGCGAGCCTGCCTTTACCACGATGCACGGCCTCGTCGCACCGCAGCTCGCCCTCGCCGGCACGGCCGTCGCCGCGTGCAACGGACGCGAGGAGTACTGCGGCCGCAAGTACTCCAACATTACCTACATGGGCGCCCACAACAGCGCCTTTGTCGGCTCGCTGCCCATGCACAACCAGTACGTGCCCGTCGCGCAGCAGCTCGACCTGGGCGTGCGCTTCCTCCAGGCGCAGACGCACCGCAAGGACGGCGCCATCGAAATGTGCCACACCTACTGCTGGGAGCTCGACGCGGGCTCCCTCGACGCGTACCTGCGCGCCATCTCGGCGTGGATGGGCGCGCACCCCGACGAGGTCGTCACGCTGCTGCTTACGAATGGGGACAAGATTCCGGTCGAGGACTTTGATGCCGTGTTTCAGGCCGCGGCACTGACGCAGTACGTGATGCGCCCGCCGCAAAAGGTCATGACCAGGGAAGAGTGGCCAACGCTGCAGGAAATGATTGATGCCGGCACCAGGCTGGTCGTTTTCATGGGTGCGTTGAGTCGGGATTTCTTTTTTTTTTTTTTTTTTTTTTTTTTTTTTCGCGTACGGCAAGGAAATGGCGTTGTGTGTGTTCTGGCTGACTTGTAGGGACGAGGGAAAACAAAAAAAAAATAGACCGCCACACGGATCAGACCAAGGTCGACTACATCATCAACGAATTCGACTACTTTTGGGAGACGCCGTGGGGCATCATCGACAAGACGTTTCCCACGTGCGTCGTCGACCGGCCACCCAAGGGCGACCCTGCCAAGCTCATGGGCTTGATGAACCACATGCTCAACTTCAAGTTTGGTGACGTCGTCTTTCCGAATCAGCCCGACGCCGCCAGTACAAACTCCAAGGCGTCGATCGAGGCGCAGGTAGCCAGATGCATCGCGGCCTGGTCGCAACAACCCACCGTGGTCCTGGTGAGTCTAGCAAAAAATAAAAAAAATAAAAATGCAGTGTTGCTTCTCCAGCGATCTAATATGAATCTACAGCTCGATTGGGTCAACATTGGCGAGGTGGCGGAGGAGGGGCTTGCTCTTAATGGGCTGTCGTGAGAGCAAAGAGTTTGTCGTTGTATTTTGGGCGAGTCTCGTCGGTGCATACGACAAGCTTGAGCATGTATAAATCTTCAGATAAGGAAGTCACTGGTACATACGGCCACAGGCAGTAGAAAATATCGCGTCCCGTCAAGTTCTTTACCACAGTCCTTTAGACCGCTACTCATAAAGCGCGTACTCTAATTTTTAAGAGCATTACCAAGTATATAATTATGTATTTTTATATATTTAATGAAATAATACTATATACCTAGTAATATTCATTATATATAGAAATAAATACGTATAGTTATTAAATATATAATATTACCTTATCAAGTATAAAAAAGTATATAATTACTTATTAAAGATTAATTCTTTTTTTTAAAATACTTTATTTTATATAATAATTATATATAAATATAAGTATTTCTTATAAAATAGAATTCTTATCTAATTCTTTTTAATAATTATATATATATATAAATAAATTAAATTATTTATTTATAAAAGAATATAACATAGTTAATAAGCAAGTCACGTAGATAAGCAAGTCACGCACCTACCC